AAAGCAAGAAAGGGGGGACGACACATACCGCATCAGTCTCAGAAGACATACTTGCACATGACCACTTGTGACTATGCTACATCTAATGCTATACCTTCGGGGTTCTGTTTTTGGGAAGCCTGTCGGCTTACCGATAATGCACGAGTGAGAGACCATGAAGGGAGCTTGTTATACTTTTGTTAGTGATCTGAAACTCCCCCCCACACGACGAAGTCGTTAAAAACCTCGTTCGATGATTAATCGACATATATGGACCAATGAGAACCAGCAAAATATCATGCCCCTTTGTGTTGGCTTATGTCCCTCCATTCATCATCGATCCAATTTCACCAATACCTCAGGTACTGCTGTATCCTGCATTCATATTGTGAGTACATATGAGTTTGTAAAAGATACGTAACCAAAATATTCTGAATAGGAGACATGTACCCAACAGAATATTCGGTTTGCTCTCTGGAACGTTTCCCACGTCGGGTGGCTTCCACGCGATCTGTCAATTTCAATAGCATTATCTCTATAGACGGGAACCCTGAGATGAAGGCCTTCTCTAGCCCTCATGGATAAGATCCTTAGATTACTCTCATTTCAGTAGATAAACGCTTTCATCACTTGAACAGTCGTGTCGTCGCTAGCCTCTAGCATTGCTGTTCTAACAGGATATTGTGAGACTGGTTTTCCTTGATAGACAATTGGATGGAAGGAGATCTTTTCCTCGGTCAAAATTAAAGGCGAAGGGGGTAGGAAGTCGTAGCTCGATGGACTGTTCGAGAGCGAGGTTGGTAGTAGCCACACCGCAGTTACATGTATTGACTACATAGCTTACGTGGCGACACAGCCTGACAGGTTGCTTCATTGCCAGTGTCTCACCAGAGTCTGTACATGTACGATGTACGGAATAAGGATCAGTGACGTTCTCCGAACCGATTGAACTGGTAGAGTTACACATACACCACGTATTTCCAGGACTTTTGAAAAGGACTCAATGCTTTAGATGCACATTTCGCTCAGATCATGAAGATACCTCTTGCATACATACACATAAGGTCTCGGTGAGTTCTCCTATCTGCAACATCCGGAGTAATCAATCCACTTGCTTTAACATAGTTATGCAACAAACAGGAAAGAGTGAGTTACATATATTGTGACCAAGCACGAATTATCAAACTTCCAATATCAACTCTCGACCAGGCACAAAGTCGGCTCAGTTGGCAGGTTTCATGACTGGACCAGTCCGGTGCGGACCAGCTAGGCTAATGGCTCCGGGAAGAAGTTATTTGCTGAAACCGGCCTATTCTGGAGGACAAAGGGCTCTTCGCGCGGAAAGACACCACTAAAAGAGGTTCGAACTAGGCGCCACACGTTCCCTCATGGAGACCTTGTGCACTTGTAGAATCTTGAACTTTGAAGCGGGTGATTCTTATGTAAGCAGGACATAACCGCTATTCAACTCTCTATGGTGGGATATATATTAACTGGAGCTGCGCTACGCTTAGCAATGCCCTGAAGCTTAAGCATACAGTCGACTCTAGTAAAATACAAAGAATGACTTATGACCCGTACTCTGCACTTGCAGCTTTTCGGCTCCGCCGCTCTGGTTTCCTTTTGCAACCGTCAATTTCGAAGTATCAATTACTCTATTACATAAATTCGAGTATGAAGTAGTCGATATTAAATAATTACATCTCGATAAAACTCATAGAAAATGGGTGGATATGAGCTAAATTAAGGTCAATGACTGATAAACGGAGGGTGGAAGAAACTCTGTACAGGTAGGATGTCAACCTGGCCAGACACACACCTCTCGAGCTCACCTTTGGCCTAGACGCAGCTACCCTTGAATGATCTAAGCTATGAACGAGCACGATGATGACTTGTGCCCGCTTAGCTCTGAAGTAAACTTCAGGGCACTGGAAATTTCCGTTACTACATATAGTAACTTACTGGCTAGACCGCTTTATATATATAGGAAGATACTTCAGATATGTTTATTCGCCACTGGGCCGGTACGGTCTACTCAATCTGGCCGGGTCCCCAACATCAATTATTGGCAGCCAGTACCATATATTACAGCTCATGAGCTTAGAATACCGAAATATAATAATTATTTACTAACATATTATCTTCCCGGAACGGATGGAATACAATTACAATTGGTGGCAATGTATACAGCTCATGTTCCTCTCTACAGATTGAGGTCTGTAATCATGAACTATCACTCGGTCGCGACTGCAAGTTCGCTATGAAATAGTTTTTGGCCATTTTGAGAAGATAGTTGGAACTAAACGACGGTCTCCCTGCTGAGATTGTCACTTTCGACAGGACCAAGAGTCAACTCAATATTTCAAGATATTGTCTAGTGCAAGATGATCGTAGGAAGTCGAAAACAACTTTCATCATGATGGGCCATTAAGAATAACTTGAAATTACGACATCCTTTATAAGTCCCTCTCCCGTCTCCCTATCCACCACATCATCACATCAATAACATCAATAACAGCAATCCTCACATCAATCATCGCATCAATCATCGCATCAATCATCGCATCGATTAATCATCATATCAATCATTGCATCAATCAATCATCATACCAAACCACTTCCAAACACCACACCAAACCACACACAAAAATGACACCCCTCGAAATCCTCCAAAACGAGCTCAAAACGCTCCAACGCAAAGTCCTCAAATGCAACGAGCAATGCGCCAAGATCCGCCGCCTCATCTACAGCAAGCACCTCAGCCCCGAAGCCGCGGCGCTCTTCAAGAATGGCACCATCGCGCGCCAAGGAGCAGAGGAGTGGGCGGCGCTGAAGGCGAACGAGAAGACGTACACGGACTGGGCGGATGAGTATGGGTGTGCGATTGCGGTTGTGGAGGAGATGATTAGGGAGTTGAATGGCGTGCCGGAGTTTGAGGTTGAAGAGTAAATGTTGGTTTGACTAGACAGGGGTAGAGGAGAGGTAAGTTGTTGTCGAGTGTTGGCTTATTTGGGGGGGGGGGGGGGGGGGTGTTGCGAGGGAATGATATGAAAAAACGTATTGCTGGCTATAGAGAGGTGGTTTATTGTAGCCTCGCGGCCCGTTTATGGAACGGCATTTGTTGCAAGTGGATGGTATGGAAAGGATAGGGTGGATTTTAGAGAATTAGTTGATGGAACAATGCAATAAAATGGTGCAGAAAATCAGTTTGTTTCCTTCCATTTCCAGTGAAATTCTCAGAATATTGAGATTAGTAGCCAGGAGGTACGTACCGAACTCCGTTAAGAAACACCATCTCGGAGTCCAGTGAGTGAATGATCTATCCCTTTTACCAGACAAATCAATAGATGCACGTATGTGTACAGTAGTTACAGTTATGTGTACAACAGAGGCCAAGGGTTTCGTGGCGGAAACGTGGTATTAGCGTGACGCTAAGAGAGTATTTCATTAAGGCCGAAGCTTCCCTCTAAACCTTCTCACTGAAACATCATCCAGGATACACCTTTCTGTCGAATTACTCCTACAGTCTACTTCTACCGGCGTACGAGATTGCGAGAGAAATTCGTGAAATATTCCAAGTCCCGAGGTATAGCCGATGAAAAGGACGTTGTCCAAAGTTAATTGAAAACCGAATCTCCAGTGTGGCGGTTTAACGGAGTTTATAAAAGGTCGTACGTACGGTTCAATTCCGGATTTAAACATTCAATACCCTTGCTAGGGTTAGGGTTAGTGCTTACATGGTGTAGGTGCAATACGCAAAGTCTGAGGGAAAGTCGCCCAGTTCCTCGACTCCACCAGCGGAAAGATTTCTAGCAGCTTCGGCCGCCTTTGAAATCACTCATCACACGTCATATGGATAATCACTTGGTGCATTCATTGACAACTTTCTTGACCGATTCATTTACAGGGTTCTTAGAGCTAGCCCGACACTCCCAGGACCACTGGCCTCGAAATCCACTCGGCGACGGTACCAGACACCAATTTTATTACGATCGAGTCGTGGAAGTTTCAAGAACCATCACTTTTGAATCCCTTCGTATTCCAACACTTTTGGTTCAATCATCGATAATCCCCGGTCCCCGACATATCCGCTACTATACCCCCGCTCCAAGGCCGTCAATGATAACCCCAGCACCTTCCAGCGTAGCAAGCCCTACAGCCCGACCACGTAATCCCCCTCTCGCTCCCCTCTCATGTTCATAGCAGCGACTCCCCAGCACACATGTACACATCACACGCCATAGGCAGAATTTCTATTTTTGCCGTGGCTTACTTCCGAGATGGTAGGATCACCAGATCTCACTCGCCCTACACTCACCTTCCAACCAGCCACACAGCCTACATACATGCAGTAGAAGAAGCCCCGATCCCCGCATCAGCAGTAAGATCCAGATCCTGATCGACCCGGCCCCAAGTAAAAACTCTTTGAGAAAAAAAAAAAAATTCCCCGAGGGTTAATTAGTTAGCCTTGTGTGGTTTCCTTACTCGTTTTCTATTTATAGCAACACAGAAGCCCGTTTATGATTGGATTCGCTAAACCTTTCGTTACTATTTTTGCTGCGCCCAACATTACGTTAACGGCTATTAGCTACAATAGTGAATCGGACAAAGGAAGTACTTTTGCACACACCCCAGATGGGAATAATAATCTTTATACGTGTTCCACTTCACTTCATGAGGCTTTGTCTTGGCGGTTGTGATAGAGATCACGGGCATTATCGGGGCGGTGCTATTTTGGGGGGTCAGTCAGTCCATACGTAGTTTGTAATATCATTTAGTGGTGGACGGAGTAGTATTAATTGCGGGGGGTTCAAGAGGTGGGTGGAGTGTGTTCGCAATTAAGTATCTTTGGGTTGAGCCTGGGGTAATAATCAAAGAAGGTGGTGTCCATAATATATACCTGTCTGCTATATCTATCTGCCATATCTCTTCTATCTCACTCCTCCTTTCAACGCCGCCTGTGCACAGTACCGGTGTATATATATTTCCCACCGGAGTCCATACCAAATAAACTGCCCACCATGGAACCCCCAAACCGCACAAACATAAATGTATCTGGCACCACAAACCTCACCTCCGCGCCGATAACGCCCTACCACCCCCCCGTCCTCAACCTCGAACTCGTCGAAAGCCGCATCAACCTCCCCACGCGCAAGCCCCGCGTTGCCCCCCGCCGCCTCACCACCCCCATCCGCCCACCCCCACAGTACACCCTCCACGCCCACCAGCCCCACCCCTACGGCGACTTCACCACCATCCCGCTCAACACCGGCACCACCACCGGCGCCACCCCCGCCCCCGCCCCCGCCGCGCCATGCACCCGCCGCCGCGACACAATCCTCATCGCCGTGATGCTGCTCTTTGCGGCGCTCGCGTTTGCGGGCGCGCTGGCGGTGTGCGTGCTGCTGTCGCTGTCGAATTATTCGGCTATGCGCGGGCCCGTGCCGGTGCTGATATTTGCGATGGCGGCGTTCTTGGTGGTTGCGGGAGGGCTGGTGGCGAGGGTGGTGTGCTTGTGGATGAGGATGAGGAGGAGCAGGTGTGCTGCTGGTGGGAGTGATGGTGGTGAGGGTGGTAGTGATGGTGGGGAGGGAGGGGATGGAGGGATGAGGGTGGAGGTGATAGAGAAGCTGGTGGCGCCGCCGGGGTATATGGACGGGTTGGAGGGGCGGGATCCGTTGGCGGGGGTGCCGAGTGCGATTGGGAGGGGGAATTTGGAGAAGGAGGTGAGGTAGTGTGGGGAGGGAAGGAGGAGGGGGGGGGAGGGTGTGCAGGTTAGGGGACATTCGCTTTGAGAGGCCGGTTTCGTCTGTATAGGCTGGGTTTTGGGATATCTGGCTGGCGGGAAGATTTCGTTTGCAATTACGGGCTTTCGAATTACTCACCTCCTGTCCCTCATTAAAGGAATGGGGGAGGGGGGTTACTACACATATGCTTATACGAAGTAATTTTCTTTTATTATTGTCTATTTTTTCTTTTTTTTTTTTTCTTTCTTGCTTTTCCACTCATTCTTTGATCTGTTATTTAGCAATATCGAGACTAAGAATTTATGGCTTGATTTAAATTTGAGTCACTGCGCTCGTATTGTGACTGGCGGTGGCCAATTTGCACAAAAGCTTTATAGGTGCATTTATGAATCCAGTTTTGAGGTAACCAAGTCGCACAATTACTCGGGTATGGAGAATATGATCCCCTCTGCGCTGCATTTGTTACTGTATATAGATGACTTGCCTCATGATTAGTAGAGACTGTTTCTGCCCTTTAGTCATGCATGAGATGGAACTGATAGTGAAATTCAAAAGATAAGACGAACACACAGCCTCATGAGCTCACTACGCCCGTACAGAAGCAAAATTAACTTTAGAAGACTTGAATCTTTCACATCTTCTTGAAAGTAACTACAAGCATGAACGATACTTGGTATGGGTGCACTGGTGATGTTTTCGGATAACTATAATCACTAACTATCACTCGACACTCGGCGCTGGCACTAACCCAAATCGCACCAACACCTTACCATCCCCCGAACCGACCAAGTCGCCGTGTTCGGTCATAGAACGAAGAAAATGGGGCATCCCGTCAGCTCTGCCAGACCCAAGTTTCGTATCGCCCGGCTAGTATCACGATGGGTGACTGTGTGTGAATCCTGGGTACTGAACTCTTTATTTTGATTTTGATTTTGATTCTTGGTTGGGTTTTTGTGTAGGTGTTTCTACAGCTACTGACACGTTGCCGGTGTTTTAAGCAGGTGGACCGTCTAGATTTACGGGTTGGGTTGGGTTGGGGTGGTTATTTAGAGAAGGGTACTGATAGCTGGACACCAAAAGTCACTCGCTCTCTAACCCTAAAACACAACTCGATAATAGATGGTAGAATATGAAAACGCAAATACTTTGATGAAAAGGTCGGCTTCTAGATCACCGGTCAACCCTGATTTCCCGCAAATCTAAGACAATTGCTACTTCTTTTTTAAAATCCAAGGCCCGCAGAATTAACAAAACGCATGCAATACCGATACTGTCCTGCATCCTTTAGACTTTATCAAGAGATCCGCCCATCTTGTAAAGACTAATGCATACATTATACGTCATCTTAATAATCTAAATGCACCAATATCTGTTGCAAGAATAAAAGGCTCCCCCGAATCCTCCCAAGGTCACAAGATGTCATCATACACACACACATCTCGATCTCGCAACTCACTCAACAGGCCTAATCAAACCAAAAAAAAAAAAAAAAAAAAAAAAAAAACCCGCTTTATAGTCTCCGCTATGGTGTTTGTTGTTTGAGGGCTGGCTTAATGCTGGGGTATTCGTGGTGTTGTACGTCGGTCCAGCTGTTCTTGATTTTGTTTTTGTTCTGCGGTTTTGATTTGGTATTTTTTTTTTACGTTTTTTGGACGGTTCGTTTTTTTGGATACAAGTAGCGACTCGCATTGGGGTTTGTCTTGTTTATAGAACAATTGGCTGTGTCATAATTTCAATACGAGAACGAAGCTAGAAGTTCTAACAACCAAAAGCTTTAAAATTATCAGCTAACTTCAAACTAAAAAAGGTTTTTCTCTACATCTACGCAATACAATTCAAAATTAAAAGATCTATTCTAACATGCTCACATATATGAAGCCCCGTTCTAGTGTTAATGTGGTCATAAACCGCAAAGAGTGAAACAACAGCAACAGGGAACAATATCCAGTTGACGGGTGGGCATATCACTGACAAAGAGAAGACCAAGCAATCCTAATTCTAGAGAAAAATGGTCATGTGAGGTGGAAAAACACGCAGACAATCGAGGTTGGAACCATCAAACAGGAAACAGGGGCACTCAGGATAGGCAGGCTTTAACTTACAGGTATGCACATGAGAATGGGTGGGACAATATACAGTAAAAGATTGCTGAATGGGAGAAGGGAGACAGTAAAAATTGAGCTTAAGTGGGAGTGACAGTTGTTTCCTTATATTTCCTTTTGTTGAGATGGCAGTGGATGGAGGGGTGTTCTGGGGAGGTAAATTTGTTTGTTATATTGTTATAACCTCCGGGTTGCATATAATTAATGGAGTAATCAATCAATCAATCAATGGTCATAAACCGCCGACTCATGAAAACACGAGTGATATCTCATGATTAAGCACACCACCCAAACCACACATAAAAAAAAGAAAATTCAAAAAATATTAAATCATTGTCCCAAGACAAGAGCTTGTGCTTATCTCATGGATAAATTAATTAATTAGTTCAACCAAAAATAAAAATTAAAAAAACCACGGTAAACATTGCAAAAAAGAGAAATATAGGGTTAGGGTTTATCGTATATCAGGGTTAGGGTTCTATTGATAACCAAACCTCCAAGCCCTCTAGATATTACAGCCCCCAAACTTTCTAAGCCCATCCGTTTGCGGTGCCTGAGTGCAACAGTCTCCACAAACTACCACAATTCAGCACAATTGACATTTCACCCTGCATTCATTGAGATAAGGCAGCTATCCCAGACATACACACAACAAAAACCCGCTTTTTGATCACCATGCGTACACGCGTTACAGCCCAGAAAACGGTTGCGGTGCTAAAAGTGAGACTGGATTCATGATTCAGGACTCGCTCGATAGTGGGAAATTAAATCTCCCTCTGTCTGTCTGCAGAAAATTGATGTATGCCTTGGAATTCGAAACAGGTTAGACCGGGACAGCTGATAGCTAGGTAGCTGGCTGCTATGAACAGATGATGCCACAGCACTCAATACACGTAGCTGCGCAGGTGTGGAAAGCCTCATGATATCTGAAAATAAGCCAAAGTACGTGAAGCTTGTATCGTTTTATTCGGCTGTTGCTAGCGCATGGGTCGTTTATTCAAAGCCTTAAGCGTTGCATATCTCCCTGCTCGAAGCTAGTTAGCTGCAATGACGGGACGTGATGTATAATGCCGGGGGGAAAATCATTTGGGGGAAGCTTGATTGTTGAAAATGTATTGACCCCTCAGCCTAATGTGATATTGCGAAGTGAGACTGCAGGTTTCATCTTTTTTTTCTCTCAAAAAGTGGAGATTATTGTGCATTGTGTACCTCACAGCTCAGACACTACTGAGTGGAGAGTTTGCTTTTGGTCATGCGATCTCACTCGATTGGTGGTGGTTCCCCGCTTAAGTGAACTTTATGCAAGGGGCACAAAAAAAGCAAATATAAGGCCGATCAGGTCCTCTAGGAACAGAACTTTCGAATGAACACATACCGTTCCATGAAACACAATGCAATGCAGTGCCCGATGCATGCACGAGAAAGAAGGCGGATCGGATTAGAGCACCAGATTACGCGTTTTAGGATGAATTAGACGAATGACGTCTAGTTAGAGATGAGGTAGATCATCTGTAGTAGTTCCTCGTTGTTCGCTACGTACCCGCTACTTGCAATGCGCATGCTTATACTAAACATTGAACTATCGCAGGTTTGAAATAACGTGCCTGTAGCGTAAATTGGGCCATTGAGTTGGCTGATTAGACGTTGAACATCTGGTCAGTTGACGAGAAGGTGCATCCACGAAACAACGCCTTGATCGTGAGTGAATGACAGGATTTACAACGCATCCGCACTCTAAGCCTTCGTTTATTCCATGAAGACTTCTGAAGCTACTGAACACTTCGGTAGGCGGCGTGCCTGGAGTGGAGCGCTGGAACTCCGATATCGTACTAAACCAATTGGTCAAATAGAGGCTAAAGATAACTGTAAATATCCAGCCGTACATATTAGTGCATCACAACTCCTATCACCTCAATCGATGTCTTAGATTAAACAATCTGTGTCAACTAAATACCAGTTTTTGAGATGATGAACCAGTTAATATGCGACCCCCGCACAATATACCGCCTCAACCAGAATGCTCAGCTTTAATCCCATCAAGGTCATCGCTGGTTAATGGCCTCATCTCGGGGCGACCCCCAAGAGTAGTAGGGCTATAGGTATTTACACATGCGCTGTTCATCGCAACCCCGCGCAGCCCCCATGAGGGAGTTTCAGATACCATTAACGGAGCCGAGAATCCCATGTTCATTGGCGGTGCTCTCTGGATGGCCAAGTGAGCTGAAACTCTATTGAACGTTTTCTGTCAACCAAGGATAATTTAAGGCCCAGGGGTGCATGTGTGGCTTAGCAACCCCACGGCCAGCGAATCAAGCAGGGATTAACTGTGACCCCGCCACTACACCTGTTCGCCCTGGGCGAAGATAGACAGCCTTGTTCTTGTAATTCCAGGAGTGACGAGGGGCGCAACGTAGGTGATGTGGCCCATGACTCACCTAGTTCTGAGCGTTGTGAAGTGTCGAAGTCTAGGTTTCTAAGCATGGGTTAGGGTTATGAATAGCATCACGTGCTCGTATTAGAAAGTCATCACGAGCGAGTGACAATATATGATCAGTTTTCTATTGGCTTGTAAGCGTTGGCTACGCCGAGGTGTGAGATAGTGTTTCTCAACTGGGTTCAAGGATCGATAACTGCGGTTGATTAGTTATGTAGACTAATCAAATAAACATACTTACGCTTGAATCAAGCTATTCACCCTGCGGTAAAGTTCTAAAATAGAAATGGTTCGATCAGGACAAGTACTTGGATTAATCCAAGCCAGTGGGTTGGTAACCAGCTCCAGTCCCATAGGGAGAATAAGTAGAATACCAGGGAGGATGTTCTGTCGGCAGCCCGATCCACTTGCTGGCGTTGTGTATCACCTCCACCACTGAACGTTTGAAGTTC